CCTCGCGGAGCGAGGGCGTCTCCAGCCTCAGGCACTCGCTGGAAGACACAGTACTCGGCGGTCCTCGTCGAAGGCCCGGACGTCGTGGGACGTCGGTGTCGCCCTCGGGAGACGCGGCTGTCTTTATGGCCCAGGCTGCGGGCCGCGCGTGGCCACGAGCCTCTGGCCCGGCCCCGGCTGTGGCTCGTTCTTACCCGGTGCTCCAGGCGAGGCGGGCGGTTCGCTTTAGCCGAAAAGAGCGTGTGCCCTTTAGGGACAGGGTGGCAAAGCGCACGCCAGGACGCTGGTCCTTAGGGGCTCGTCGACGGATGCCCTCGCAGGGTGCGGCCGGGCCTGGCTAGCGGGGCCCGGGCTGGCCGCAGACGGTGCCCAGACCGCCCGCGAGACCACCCCGAGGACTTGTGAAGACGAGGACGGGGGTTCCTCCTGCGCTGTGGGAGCCGCCCCGAGAAGGGGGGGCGCTTGTCGACTCAGAGTCGGGGGGATGCTGGGGCTGGACGGTGGGGAGGTGGGGCAAGCCCAGCCTGGGCCCCTGCGACCGTCGGAGGAGAGGGTGAGACAGAGATGCAGCGGACTTGGATGCCCGCCGAAAGAGTTCGAGTTTATCTGCTAGGCTAGTGGCTTTGTTGTCTTTTTTTTTTTTCCCCCAGTTGAATATTTTGGGGTTTGAGACTCCACCCCCTCCCCTCCCACACACACACTGATGCACACACAACATAACTTGCAATTTACTTAGGGGTTGTCACAGAGGTTTCTTTCTTTTGGAAGCCGCACCTTGATTCCAGGCTAAAGGAGGGAGGAACCTTAATCTTTTTCTTGAGCGCAGACAAGATTGCTGAACGAGTTCAGATTAGGAAGTCTATGCGATCTGGTTTCTAGCCCCGTTTCTGTCACTTGGCCCTGTGACAGTTGATAAGTCACTTCACATTTCTGAGCCCCGGAATCCTAATCTATAAAGCTGCCATAAGGCAAATACTTGCTCTGCCTTCTTGCTTAGGTTGTGAGAATCAGATAAGGCCTGGGAACTCGTCAGAAGTGCCAAGTCTCAGACACTGTGGCGGTGGCACCCAGAACAACGTGTTTTAACAAGACCTCCTGATGATTCAATGCTGCTGACCTCTGAGAACCACTGCTCCAGTTTTCCAGCTTTTTTTCATTGTGATTCACAGTAATGATATTTTGCATCACAATTAGTACCCACATGAGTACACTCAGATCAAAAAGTTTATGAAAATACTATATCCAATGTAGTCTTACATTTCATATTCTCCTGCATTTACTTTTTTAAGAATGATGGGGTTTAAATCTTAAAGGATGCTATAGGGAAGCTGATAAAGCTTGGGTATGAACTGCAGATTAGATAATTACATTGGTGTTACATTTCTTGGCTTTTATTTTCACTTATTAAATTAAATTGATTTATTTTTGAGTCAGGGTCTCACTCTGTCACCCAGAGTGGAGTGTAGTAGCACAGTGCGGCTCACTGCAGACTTGAACTCCTAGGCTCAGGCCATCCTTCTGCCTCAGTCTCCCAAGTAGCCATGACTCCAAACTTGCTAAACTTCTTAATCCACTATACTCAGCACATTTTTTTTTTTTGGTTGAGATGAGGGCTTTCTATGTTACCTAGGCTGGTCTCGAACTCTTGAGCTTAAGCAGTCCACCTGCCTCAGCCTCCCAAAGTGCTGGGATTACAGGCGTAAACCACTGTGCCCAGCAAATTTCCTGATTTTTATAAATTGTACCATGACTGTGCAGTATAATGTCTTCTTTCTCGGTAAAGATATATGGAAGTACTTGGCAGGGGTGCACAGTATCTGCATATACTTACACACACAGAAAAAGCAAGTGAGACAAAATGTAAATAATTGGCAAACCTGGATAAAGGATATACAGAAGGGCCTTGTAATATTTTTGCAACTTTTCTGTAAGCTTGAAATGTTATCAAAAAGTCACTCAAATACTGGTTTCAGATACACTTGACCAATTTTGCTATCTGCAAATGAGTAAATGAAAAATATTGCTGTAATATTCATGGTATGTATAAAAGTCAGGAACTGTATACAACATTATCCCGAGATATCCCTCATACCTTTGTACAATGGAGGATATACAATTATATACTCACTACTGATAATACTATTAATAATACAGTATAGTCTATAGTATATTTTTTTCCTTGTCACTATTATTTCCAGCTTTTATTTTAGTCACTATTGTTATATCTGTTTACTTTAAGCCTGTTGAAAATATGCAATTTTATCATTTTACCCTGTGGCCTATTGGAGTGTGAAGGGATGCGAAGATGGTAGGCTGGGATTTGAACTAATATGAATTGTAGTGCAGGCTTCTCTCCTTTTTGATGTTTAGTTGCTTTGGGCAAGCATATATGTGTAACGTGGGATTCACTTCTACCTTATGGGACCATTAGAATTAAATGAGAGACCGTGGTGTTGGTTTACGCCTGTAATCCCAGTATTTTGAGAGGCTGAGTCAGGAGTATTGCTTGAGGCCAGAAGTTTGAGACCAACCTGGGCAACATAGCGAGACCACCCCTCTACAAAAAAAATTAGCCGGGTGTGGTGGCATGCACCTATAATCCAAGCTACTTGGGAGGCTGAGGCTGGAGGGTCGCTTGAGCCCAGGGAGTCAAGGCTGCCATGATCCGTGCCACTGTGCTCCATCCTGGGTGTCAGAGTGAGACCTCTGACTCAAAAAAAAAAAAAAAAATGAGGAAATAGCCAGACACAGACTGGAATAGGTGTCGGGTACTTAATAGTAGTGTGCCTCCTCTTCTCAGTTCTGCAGAGAAAATGAATCATTGATTAGGACCTCGGAGAAAAGGATAGCAACAGGATTAAAAGCTTTCCATGTCTCTGAGGGAGAGAAATATGTAAATCACACTGGTGATGTGATTTGACTTATAAAACATATCATTAAATTTATGAAATATGAGTTCTTTTTTTTTTTTGCATTGGAGTCTCACTGTCACCCACACTGGTGGACAGTGGTACGCTCCTGGCCACCGCAGCCTCAACCTGCTGGACTCAGGCAATCCTTCCACTTCACCCTTCCAAGTAACGAACTACAGGCACGCGCCACCATGCCCGGCTAATGAGCTCTACTCTCTAAAAGCATTTTGCCATAACTAGAATTGCTTTGGAGACACACTATTAGTGTAACTATTTAGGAAAAAATGCTTTGAAAGGATCATAAGTTATGCTGTTTTTCTCAATTATTTTAACTATTTCCTAAGTCTCTTTTTTTTTCTTTTTGTTTAATAGCACAAGATATTCAAAGAACATATTAGGCAGAATGCATTCCATGAAAGATGTAAGTTACCTTTTTACATTTTAATGCAATTTTATTCTAGTTGACAATACAAAATAACATTTTGGGGGAACCTCAGAGTTTTGTAGAACATTACTTGGTAAGCTCAGTGTTTATTATAGTGAAAAGGCGTGTTCGTTTTCCTCACACTTTTTCCAGTGTAATGGAAAAAATGACATTTGTTAACATTTTAGAACCTTCTTTCTTTTTTCTGAGCCTAGATTGGTCTTGTTTTCGTTTAGATAATTGATATCATGTAAAAATTGTATACCTTTCTGTATTTTGCTTTTTTCACTTAAAGCCATTTCTCCACATTATGGCTTTCAACAACTTAGTTTATATAACAGTTTTACTTGTTTTTAGGATAGAGTCTTAGAACAAATGTATGTTAAAGACAGGGACACTTCTTTAACACTCTTGCTAGCTAATTCTGAATTATTTTCCAGGGGCTTATCTGGTTGGCACTGGAACCTCACATTAACGGTGTGGTGGTATCAGGACCTGCAAAAAGTTCTCTCTGCTCTCTCTGTTCTGCCCCAGCTTTCTCTGTCCTAAGTGCTCTCCCTCTGCCCTGTGTCCCCTGCCAGCTGTCAGACGATGGCTCTTTTCTCCTCCAGGAAACTTCAGCTACTGCTGCAGGAGTTGCTCAGCCCTCAACCCCCATCCCAGACTCAGCTCGCTGGATTTCTCTCGGCTTCCTGTCCCTGCCCTTGGCAGTTGGAAGTCCAGTGTGCCTGAGCAGGATTTTTCTAAGCTCTGCACCTCTATTCCCAGCCTTCCTTAGCTGAAGTCCAGAAGGCCTGGGAGGGATTTCTCCAACTTTCCTGTCCTCTTCCCTCTGCAGGGCAGCTGCCTTACACATGCTGGTAGAGTTTTTGTTTTGTATGCCAGTTTTATTTCGTCTCCTTTATCTCTTCCAGAATTTTCTTTTCTTTTTTTTTGGAGTCAGGGGTCTCACTCTATCACCCAGGCTGGAGTGCAGTGGCATGATCACGGCTCACTGCAGTCTCCACCTCTTAGGCTCAGGTAATCCTTCAGTCTCAGCTTCCCAAGTAACTGGGACTACAGGTGCACTCCACCATGTCTGGCTAATTTTTTTAAAAAATTTTTGGAGATGAAGTCTAGCTATGTTGCCCAGGCTGGTCTCAAAATCCTGGACTCAAGCAATCCAGCCACCTCGGCCTCCCAAAGTGCTGGGATTACTGATGTGAACCACCACACCTGGCCTAGAATTTTCTTATTTTCATATCTGTTAATAGCACCTTTCCACATTTCCCGGAACTACTATGGACGTTCTTCTTATTTTATGCAGACTTCATGGGCTTATCAGTATATTGAGCTGTAAACCTGGTATCTCTCCTTTCGTCAAGAGCTTTTACCCCTGTGTGCCCTCAAAAATGTTTATGGGGATATTTCTGGGGAGAGGGCCAGTCGCGTTCTCTAGGTTGGGGTCTAGGTGAACCGTGGCCTGTGCGCCACATCGAGCCTGCCACCTGTTTTTGTGCAACCCTGTGAGCACAGAGTGGTTTTTACATGGTTGAAATAAAGAGTATCTCTTGATGTGAAAATGGTATGAAATTCTGATGTCAGTGTCCAGAAGTGGAGTTTTATTGGGATATAGCCATACTGTTTTCTGCATTGTCACTGTCTGTTTTGACTCCACAGTGACTGAGTTCGTAGTTGCAACAGAAACCTTATGGCCTGCAAAACCTAAAATATTTACTCTCTGGTCCTGTATAGAAATGTTTGCCAACCCAAGCCTTCGATTATCAAAGTATCTGTGTCCCCATAAAGGTGTTTAGGGATTGCTGCTTTTTAAAATAAAGAAAGATTTGTGACCTGCCTGGGCAACTTGATGAGACCTCATCTCTATAATAAATAAAAAAAACAAAATTAGCCGGGTGTGATAGCACACGCCTGTAGTTCCAGCTCCTCGGAAGGCTGAGGCGGAAGGATCTCCGGATCCCAGCAGGTCGAGGCTGTGGTGGCCGGGAGCGGCCACTGCCCTCCAGTCTGGGTGACAGAGTGAGACTCCAACTCAACTCAACTCAACTCAAATAAAATAAAATAAATAAAATAATTTTTTAAACTGACACATTGTAATTGTATATATTTAGGGGGTGCAATATGATGTTTAGATACGTATCTATGTTGTCTAATGACCCACTCGGGGTAGTTAATGTATCTGTAACCTCATGCACAAGGATTACTTCTTTACGCAACAGCCATAGCAAGAATATTCTTGCTAAATAAATCAGCTTTGTAATGCTCTTTGTGAAAGCCAGTTCAATGATTTGACTTTTTTCACTTTTAGAAAGCTGGTCCAAAGCACAAGCCTACTGATGTCTTTGATTTTTCTGATAATTCTGATGTCTCAAGCATTGGCAGGCTGAGTGGATATGAGAAAGATGAAGAACCTTATGAACCCTTTGGTGAGTACTTAAAATCTTTATCTAAACACGACTTTAAAGCTACAACATTTAGGCTAGATGTGAAAATATAGAAGAATCTTCAAATATAAAAATCAAATGAGTACATATAAATATAATGTTCTGGATGGTGGGAGTACTTGATATTTGAATTGATTGTTCTCACGTTTAGGTGCATTAAAACTAAGAACATTATTAAAGTAGAACTCTTCTAGTGGCATTTGCTGACAAGCCAGTCATGTTAGGACACTTACTGTAGTCCTCTAACAAGAAGAATAGAAAGTGTCTCTCACTCCACCCCAGCATTTGGTGAAGCTGTTGATTTAGGGAGAAGAGTGTGGGTAACTTTCCCTTACACTCACTGAGACAGAGGATGCTTTGAGAGAGCCCATGAGAGAGCTTCACCTGTGTTCCCTGTAGTGTGGGGTAAAAGGGTTGGTCCAGTACTTGGCTGACCAGGAGGATACAAGTTGTGCAGTCGAACTGCTTCTGTTGCTGTGTGTCACTGTCACACCATAGGCCCAAAATGGTATAGAAGTGCCATATATCTCCACGTCTACAACAGCAGTCGTAAAACACCTTTGCTGGAACATGTTTTAAGAGGATTTTGAAAACTTGTATTTTTTATTTGGCTTCTAGAATTTTTCAATCTAATATTTTGTTAACAAAAAATTATACATTTTAACTGCCAGGGAAGGAAGCGGGGGGCATGTAACCACACAAAGGGTACCTGGTCCTAAACCAGGGGTCCAGAGGGCCAGTTGGAGGCCCAGACTTCACCTGCTTGTAGCGTACTTGTGTAGTTAACCCACACTTGTACCCCCCATCTCTGTAGTAAAATAAATAAAAATTTTCAAAATAAAATTAAAAATTATATATTTTATAAGATGAGAACTAATCACCATCAGAATGTATCTATTATTATGATTTGATAGAAACATTTTAAATTACCTAAAAGAAATTTAAAAGATCTGAATCTATAAGAAATCTCATAATTTTAGAAATTGAGATGTAATTTTTAAATTACCCTTTTATGTACCCATAAAATCCACCCTTTTAATGTGTGCAGTTCATTGGTTTTTAACATATCCACAAAGTTGTACAATCATTACCATTATCTAATTCTAGAATATTTTCATCATCTTAGAACAAAACGCTGTACCCATTAGCCGTTACTCCCTATTCCCCCTTTCTTCAAGCCCCTGATAACCATAAATCTACTTTCTGTCTCTGTGGATTTGCCATTTCTGGACATTTTGTATAAATGGAATCCTAGACTTTGCGGTTCTTTGTGACTGGCTTATTTCACTTAGTGTAGTGTTTTCAAAATTTATCCATTTTGTAGCATATATCTACTTTATTCCTAAAAATGTTTATACCTTAATAATATTCCTTTGTTTGGATATGCCACCATTTGTTACTTCTTTATCAGTTGATATACATTTGGGCTATTTCTGCTTTTTGACTATTATACATAATGCTACTATGACCATTCATGTACAAGTTTTTGTGTGGACATACTTTCAGTTCTGCTGGATGTGTATCTAGGAGTAGAATTTCCAAGTCCTTTGGTAATTCTGTTTTTAACTTGAGGAACTGTTTTACAAAGCAACTGTACTACTTTACACTTCCACAGCAGTGTTTGAGGGTGCCAATTTCTTGACATCATGCAAAAGCTTATTGTCTGACTTTTTGGTTCTAGCCATCATAGTATGAAGCAGTATCTCATTGTAGGCTTGTGTGTGTGTGTGTGTGTGTGTGTGTGTGTGTGTGTGTGTGTGTAAAATATACATAACATAAGATTTACTATTTTAGCCATTTTTAAGTATATGCTTCTGTGGTAGATGAATACATTCACATTGTTGTGCAACCATCGTCATAGTCTGTCTCCAGAACTTTCATATCTTTCCTGCCCGAAACTCTGTACTTAATAAACAATTCACCATTCTCCCCTCCCCTAGCACCTAACGACCATCATTCTACTTTCTAGGGAGCATGCAATAGTTGTCCTTTTGTAACTGACTGTTTCACAAGGTTGTAGCATGTGTCAGAATTTTCTTTTTAAAACTGAATGTTTCCTTGTATGTATATGAGGTTTGTTATAAAAAGTACTACGTACCTCATTGCTGAATATTATTACGGTCACCTTTGCAGTGCTCCCTTTGGGAAGCTATGCACTGATGCCAGCACCTAGTTTACCCGTCAGCAGTTTTGGAACTCTTTTTCTGGAATGGTCATCAGAGTTGTCATATTACTCTTGCTGTCCTGAATGTCCTCAAAATGTCTTCCTTTCAATATTTCCTTTATCTCTGGGTAAAGAAAAACGCCACTGGGGGCCAGATCGGGTGAGTGGGGAGGGTTTTCCAGTGCAGTTACCTGTTTACTGAAGGAAGACTCCCTCCCGGACAGCGCTGTGTGGGTGGCGCCTTGTCGTGATGCAAGAGCTCCTTTGGACCGTTTTTGCTCACGCCTTTCTCAGGCCGAGATTTCCATTCAGATTTTCCCGACTGTTTCTCTGTCGATGTTTATTCGGTCTGCTCTGCTTCTCACAGCTGACAATTTGAACCTAAAACTCAGCGAATTTTTGCAATGTTTTGTCAGTTTATTCATCACTGGCCCTCTTGACCTCTCCTCCTTAGTGACATTCTCTTTCCCCTCAGGAAAACATTGACTCCATTGTACACTGCCGTTTTCTTCATGACATTATCCCCATAAATTGGACTCATATGTCCCTGATCTCACTTTCCACTCTTGCCAAGTTTAACAAGAAATGTAATGTTGTTGCTCTAATTCAAGCTCCGATATTCTGGCGATGGCACACAAAAACATGCAACAACAATAACGAGCACCGCTCAGTAAAAAGCCACCACACATCGACATGAGCACAGCTGTGAGACGCTGATATACCAAGTTTATGAAACCTCGCCTACTTGTTTGTACAGTGCTGCCAGTGTAAGTGCACAGTGGCAGGCTCGCGAACTTAATTGTCAGACTGTGTATCCCACACTCTGTTTATCCGTTCATCTGTAGGTGAACATTTGAGTTGCTTTCACCTTTGACTATTGTGAGTAGTACTGCGATTAAAGTGGGTGCACCAATATCCGTTTGAGTCCCTGCTTCTCCTTCTTTGGGGTATATACCCAGAAATGAAATTGCTGAGTCCTATTGTGGTTCCATTTTTATATTTTTGAGGAATCCTCATTTCCACAGTGGGTGCACCGTTTTACGTTGCCACCAGCAATGCACAGGGGTTCCCTTTTCTCCAGATTTTTGCCTGTGCTTGTTTTCTGGGTTTTCCTTTTCTGTTTTTAATTTGATAATTGCTGTCCTAAGCTTGAGATGTGGAGTGGTATCTTGCAGTTTTGATTTTGCATTTCTCTAATTACTATGATCCTAAGCATTTTTCAATGTGCTTGTTGGCCATTTGTTTATCTTCTTTGAAGAAGTGTCTATTGAAATCTTTTGCCCATTTGGGTCCCCTCCTGCTGTGGGAGCTTTTCTGTTCTCTCAGTAAGTCCTGCCTTCTTTTAAAAAAAAAATCTTTTACTCGTTTTTAACTTGAGTTGTCTTTTTATTGTTAAGTTGTAAGAACCAGCTTGTGTGACTGGTTACATGTGAAGGTTCAGGGTTTATGTAGCTCTGGGTTTTGTTGTTGTTTGCTTGTTTGTTTGTTTGTTTTAGAAAGCAGGATTTATTGAGAGAACAGAAAAGAAAGTTCCCACAGTGTGAGAGAACCCAAGGGAGATGCCCAGTTCTCTTTTTTTTCTTGTTATTCATAGCAGTAAATAAATCCTTTTGCTTAGTTGAGGACAATACAAAATATACTACTGATTTTAAAATTGTATAGTTGATATGTTCATTGTTTAAGCAGGTCCTTGAAAACATTAGTTGGGACTGTTGAGCTAGACGTTGAGCATGAAGAAATGGCCGCTTGGCTTTTCGCAGGCCTCCCGGCACCCTGGCCCTGTTGCTACAATTTGTTCATCGTCCATCCTTCTATCCATCATCCATCCATTCTTCCATCTGTCTGTCTGTCCACACATCCATCCATCCATCCTGTTTATTACTACTGTCCATCCGTCCATCTATCCGTCTGTAATGGGAATTTCTAATTTCAGAGCTATTTTGATTACTTTAGATTTTAAAGGTTAAGTTCAGAGACTTTCATTGAGTTAGGCTAAATGTAGAAACTGCTTAAATTTAAAAATGCACGTTTTTACTTCTCCCCCTTCATTGCCCTTGAAATCTAGTAACTGTTGCTGGTACCGAAGGGAACACAACCATCTTCATTGAACTCCCTGATAAACAGGAGACACAAGAAAAACTGCATGTCCCTGGAGAAGTCTCTGCTGGACCTAGATAAGAAATGGGCTTTGTTGAAACTCCCTAAAACCCCAAGAATGTGTCTGTTCTCTTAGTCCTTAATAATAATAGTTTTCTTCTAAGCCTTTGAGTCAAATGTATGTGTAATGTTAACTCTTGTGAACCAAAGCCCTTGGTGTAAGTGAAGAACTGTAGCCAACTGGAAAGTATGCGGTCCCAGATTGTTCAAAGCCATTGTAACTTGAGAGAATGACAGGATTGATGCAAGCTGAACACTGGCTTGTGTCAGCAACTGCTTGAGGTCTAAACTCTGATTAGAAAAGATACTAAATTATATCCCAAGACATGTAATTTCTGTTAAACAATAGTAATGATAGATAAGACAATGCCTGTTTTACTGTAAATGCTGGCATGAGTTTGTGTTGCTTTGAGCAGGTCCTGGTCAATATACTAAACCTGTCTCCCTGAATTCTGAATTGAGAATAAACCTCTTTTCTCCAGTTTTCTGCCTCTTGTATCTCACTGGACATGAGAACAAGCAGCTGCCTTTGCTTCAGACTGCAATCCGTCCATCCGTCCATCATCCTTCTGTCTTTCCTATCTATCCTGTCTATCACTACTCTTCCTCTTTCTGTCTGTCTGTCTGTCTCATCTATCCACCCTATCACTGCTAACCACCTGTTCATCCACCCATCCATCCTTCCTGTCCTGTCGCTGCTATCCCTCTATTTATCTGTCTCATCTGTCCATCCCGTCATCACTGTTTATTCATCCACCCATCCGTCCATCCTTCCTGTCTGTCCTGTCTGTCCCTACTGTCTAACCAATCTGTTCACTGCGTCACCACTGCCGTCTGCCCGTCCACTCATCGTTCCTCTCTCCTTCCTGCCTGTCCATCCTGTCGCCGCCATCCAGCTCATCGATCCGTCCTGTCATTCCTGTCTGTCCATCCACCCACTCGTCTTTCTTTTCCATCTGCCTACCCTGTCCGTCACCGCTATGCGTCTCTCCTGCCCACCCTACCTGTCACTACTCTCTGTCTATCCGTCCTCTCATCCATCCATCATCTGTCCATTCTTGCCTTTCTATCCTGTCTATCACTACAGTCTGTCTGTCCCTACTGGCCACCTCTTTTCCCCCCAAGTTCTTCACCCCCACCAGAGTCCTGAGGCCTCTCCTATTACTTCTTCTCCGTTAGCATTTTCTTTCTAGACATTTCCACGAAGACAGTCTTCTTTCCTTCTCTTTCGTCTTCCTCATTCAGGGTCACTTTTTATACTACAACGGCTCGAACAATCCGGAGTAAAGTGGAGAGGAGAAGGCGTGAGGGAGGCCTCTGATCTCTCTCCAGAGTGCCGTTCATTCACAACTAGTGAGTAGCCGCCGCCTGGGAAGCGCTTTGTGAGACAGAGTCATAGGCGTAGGCAGCTGCTCTCTAAGCCTGTAGAATTTACAGTGAATGCAGTGGTCTCCCGGTAGATTGAATGATGTTTCACAGGCATGAGGAAAGAAGATGTTATACTTACAATATTTTTTAAGTCAGGGTCTCACTCTGTTGCTCAGACTGGAGTGCAGTGGCATGATCACGACTCACCACAGCCTCGACCTCCTGGGTTCAGGTGATCCTTCTACCTCCCAAGTATCTGGGACAACAGACATGTGCCACCATGCCCTGCTAATTTTTTGGTTTTTTGATATTTTGTAGAGATGGAATCTTGCCATGTTGCCTAGACTGGTCTCTAACTCCTTGCCTTAAGCAATCCACCTGCCTCAGCTTCCCAAAGTGCTAGGGTTACAGTTGTGAGCCACTACACCCAGCTAGCCTTTGTATTTATTTTTATTATCTCGTTAAAAACTTTTCAGCATATGTGAGTACAATAATACAGGTCCATGATTTATAAATATCTATGCGTTTATTGGTGACATGGTTTAAATTTTTTATTGTTGAGGTGTGGGATCAGAAACATTTGAAAAGCAGCGTGTGTAATGGATTTTGATTTTATAGGCCATTTAAACAAAGATTGTTTTGTATTCCATTGCAGGGGAACAAATTTAAATACTCCCCAAACAGACTTTTGAAGTTGCATTTTTTATTTTTGTCTTTTAAAAGATCCTCCTTTACACAGCACAGCTATATATGGTGATGAAGAGGAATTCTCCAAACACTGTGGATTACCTGTCCCTTCTTCTCCAGGGAAAAAAGCAGAAAGGAGGTACAGTTATATTTCAAGCAATTGTTTATTCACAGCTAATGGGATTTCTGAGAAACTTTAAGATAGAGGCTACTAAAACTAAAGCTTTTTAAGATCTTTTGAGCCAACTTGTGTTTTTCTTCAGGAGAACTGGCATATAAAAACTTGATTTTTAGATAATTGAATTTATAATAATTGTAATAACTGACATAACTCACACCTGGTTATTCTAGAAAACATGCCTATGAAGGTAGTTTTAGCTTTGAGGTCAAATAAGTAAAGGAGGGGAAGATTTTCTGAGTATTGGATTTTAGGTGATTTTGAGAGGTCACTTTCATTTACAAATTCTCTAATTATCAAAAGTGAGATTTTTTTTTTTTTTTGCATGGTAGGTGATAATTAGGAGAATACGAAGACTATTTTCAGATGTGTTGTCCCTGAGGAGCATTTGTTTGAATCCTACAAATTTATATGAAGGAATGGGTCAGGTAAGTCTCTATAAAAATGATTTTATAGAGACAACTTGAGAGCAAATTCTGTAATGAGGAGCTCTTTGATAACTGTAGTACTAATGATAAATTATTAGCTAGAGCAGCTCTTTAACTTAAAGACCTCTGTTAGGTAATAAGTCAATCCTAGTTACTAAATGTATTTTGCAAGTAGCAAAACTGCAGTTTTAAAACACGTATTTCAGTTAAATAGAAATCTGAATTAGGAAGTCACTTTATATCTGTGTTAGGGAAGTTTTATAGCACTTGGTTATTTTGTAGACTTCAGAATTTTATGTTACTTAAAATCAGTAAAAGCCAAATAATGGAAAAGTGTGTACACTCCACTTTAAACAGTGGTAAGTATAATTTTTACAAATTTCAAGGTGTTCACAATGAGTTTTAATGTCTTGTCTTCCTCCACCCAGCTCTTGGCACCCACTTCTTCCCTCTTCCTCATTATTAGTTTCTTACACGTCCTTCCTGAGTGTCTTGGTGCATATAAAACTGAATAAGAGTACAGATGTTTTTCTTGTGTATAGAGAAAAGGCAGCATACCTTCCGACCTAGCTTCTCATGCCTTAGAGAGCTTTCCATATCAGTACACGCATGCAGCTTTCTCATTCTTCTTTTCACAGTTGTGGCATGGACAGTCCATCCTGCAGTGTGACTAGTCCATAGCCTGCTTATCCAGTCCTGAATGGATAGGCAGTCCGGGCTGTTTCTAGCTTCTGCTGTCACTTCCAGTGCTGTACTCAGTAACTTGGCGCATATGCCATTCACACATGTACCTGTATACCTATAGGGTACATTAGTAAAAGTGAGATCCTGGGTATCATTTTTGTAGTTACTGCCACATGGTATTGAACTTGGATTTTTGCCAGTGTGATAGGTCAAAAATACTATCCCAGTCTGCTTCTGATTTGTATTCTTCTTCGTATGTTTAAAAGCTCTCGAATTTCTCTTTTTGTAAACTGTTTATACCATTTTTCCTTTTTTAAAAATTGGTCTTGGTCATTTTCATCTTGATTTCTTTGACTTCATTTAAGCATTAGTGAGATTAACCCTGTGTTACAGATTATTTTAAAGATTAATTTGTTCATCTGTTTTTGGTTTTTTTTTGAGTCAGAGTCTCACTCTGTCACCCAGGCTGGAGTGCAGTGGCACACTCGCAGGGACCCCAGTGTCAACATGCTGAGCTCAGGCAATCTTCCGTCTCAGCCTTTCAAGTAGCTGGAATTACAGGCATACGCTACCATGCCTGGCTAAATCTTTGATATATTGTAGAGACAAGATCTCACCAAGTTGCCCAGGCTGCTCTTGAACCTCTGGGCTCAGGCAGTCCTCTCACCTCGGCCTCCCAAAGTGCTGGGATTACAGGCTTGAGCCACTGTGCCCTACCTCTTCTGTCTTTTGACAGAACACCTAAGAGTGGTGTTGTTGTTGTTTTACAACTAAAGTGTTCGTTTTTATGTAGATGCAGTGATATATTTATCACTCTTTTAGGAGTTAGAGATTTTGATTCATAGTTAGGAAAGCATCTCCCTTCATGTTTTCTTCTAGAACTTTTATGATTAATTTTGTACTGGAATCCTTGATTCTGTCTATCCTTGTGTGAGGTATAGACCCAAGAGTGCTACTCAGTTCTGTCAGTGCCATTTATCAAATGACTCTTTTTTCCTCTAGTGGTTGAGATGTCACCTGTCTTACATGTTAAATTCCACGTGTATTGGCATCTGTTTCTAGACTTTTGTTCTGTCTCAGTGGTCTTTCTGTCTAGTTGCTCCCTCGTTGGTTTTTTTTTAACACATTTTTTTTGTGATTCTTATTTGTTTGTTTTTTAAAAATATTTTTTAAGATCAGCTTGTCAAGTTAAAAGCAAAAATAATTATTACTCTCTTTATTGGGTTGAGTTTATAAATTAAACAAGGAATGGATATTCGTATGATGAGGAACAAATAGCTTTCCATTTGTTCAAGTTCTTTGTATCCTTTAGTGCTCTTCAGCGTTTTATTCATATAGATTTTGCATGCTTCTTAAGTTTATCCTAATATAATTTATCTTTTTTTGTTTGTGATGAGTAATTACTATAAGTGGAGTCTTTTCTTATATCTTCTGTGTTGTAATTGATTGTGTATGTGAAAACGATTATTTTCTTTACATTAACTTTCTACTATTAGGAATTAATTTGTCATTCTGTTTTATAAATTATTACACATTTACTATTTGCCAAATACTCTTCTGGATATCTAAAAGTAAAGACAGAGCATACCTGTTCTTAAGAATACCCTGTTAATGGTACTGAAGTGTAATTCTTTTTTAAAGTTTGAGCTATAAAGTATGAGCTTTACCAGATTTCATCTGTTAGAATTATGTATTCCTTACTCATTTGAGCATATTAATAGATTAATCATAGCTGATAACCGATTAGCAGATTTAAAGCATTAAACTTTGTATTCCTGGGCCAAAAAGCCACCCTACCTGGTTTGGCCTTTGGCTGATCCGCAAACTCCTGAAAGTGCGTTTCCTCGGGGCCTTTGCGTGTGCCGTCCACTCCCTGTGCCTGGATCCCTCTTCCTCCCCTTCGGAGCGGCTGGTCCCGGGCTGCCTCCTGTGTGTCGCTTATCCCAGCAGCCTGCTTTGGCACTCACAGCGAGTGTTCCCTTCATCCACCCACATGTCTTCTTTGCCCTGTTCTTTCTCCCATAGCCCTTATATCTACCCCACCGATATTTTACATTCATTTTTAAATCTGTTCACTTTCTGTTTCCGCAGTAAAAGCCTAGCTTCAAAAAGAGCAGAACTGGCTGGGCACAGTGGCTCATGCCTGTAATCCCAGCACCTTGGGAGGCAGAGACAAGAGGATTGTCTGAGTCCAGGGGTTTGAGACCAGCCTGGGCACCTTGGCAAGACCTTGTCTCTACAATAAATTAACAAATTAACTGGCATGATGGCACGCACCAGTGGTTCCGGCTACTGGGAAGGCTGAGATGGAAGAATCCCCTGAGCCTAGCAGGTCGAGGCTGCGGTGGCCATGAGCGTGGCGCTACACTCTAGCCTGGGTGACAGAGTGAGACTCCTACTCAAAAAAACAAACAAAGTAAAACAGAACTTTGCTCCCTGCTGTACCTCAGGTTCTTAGAATACTACTTGGCACATGCTGGACACTCAGTGAATATCTGAACTCATTTTTCATTCATGTGGTGTAGTATCATCGTTTTGTTGATGGACCTCGGGCCCACTGCACGGGGCTCAAATTTTTGTTCTCCTGCTAATTATTTGACCTCCTTGGGCAAGATAGTTAATGTCTAGGTTCCTTCATCTGGAAAGTAGAATAATAATACAATCTACCTTATGTGATTGTTTTGGGATGAATCAGTTCACATAAGCTCTTAACACAGATTGGCACATAGTAAGCTTTCAAGTGTTGGCTTTTCATAGTTATTTTTTCAGCAAGTGTTTTTTTGAGCCCAGCCTAGGTACCAGGCACTGTGTTAGGCTCTAGGTTTACAGTAATAACTCAAAGTGGGCATAATCTTTGTGCTCATGGAGCTTGAGCAGTAGATATTAATGAAGGACCCACTGACAAATCACATATGGGGAAGGAATTAGGTTGGAGGGAGCCAGGGCGAAGAGCACTCTGCAAGATGAATAGCATGTGTAAGGGCCCTGTGGTGGAGGGAACCTTGCGAGGGTGCAGGACAGGAAAACGCTGGGGTGACCCAGAGTGAGGAGAATGAAGAGGGAGAACACATGGCAGTTATTTGGAATGACACAGCTGGCAGTGATTGCTAGTTGCCTGATGTGTTTTCCCCTTCTTTCTTAGTAGTAGGCATGTGTTTTCCCTTTCTTAGCAACAGAATGTTTGACGTTTAGCTGGACACATGGCTATCAGGACAAATGTATTTTCTGGCTTCCAGTGCAGGTAGGGTGTCTGTATGACTAAATGCTAGCCAAAGTGGTCTACAGCTTCTGAAAGTTCCTTTCTAGGGAAGAGTGTGCCCTTCTTTGCTCCTTCCTTCTGGTTGGAATGGGATGCAATGGCAGACGCCTGAGCAGCCATCTTGTACCATGAGGCCACATACTAAGAAACTGGGTCTCTTGATGATGGCATGGCTGTTACACTAACCTGGATGGAATTGCCTCTGGAGTGTTGCCGAGCAGGAAAGAAAGTATCTTGTTTAAGCCATTCTGAGCACGTGTTTTCGATCATTTGCAGCCATACCTCATCCTGTGTGATAAACTCGGTAAAAAGTTTTGCCATCCTAAGAACAGCTGAAGAATTCTAAGCAGGGGTGACATGGTCAGATCTGCATTTAAAAATTATCGTTCTGGCTGCTATGCGAAGAACGGATTCGAGAGGCGAGGATGGCAGGGGGCAGACTGCAAGCTGCTTCAGAAGGACGGGGCAGGGAAGGCTGAGTGCTTGTGGCCCAGGCGGAAAGGTGTGGCTGGAGTCAAGAAAACGGAGACCAAGTCAGCAGGGCTTCAGTGATGGGTGGGCTTAGCACGGGGGAGAGTTGCTGTCAGGTGGCGCCCAGATTTCAGATTGTGTGAGTGGATTGGTGTGGTGCCATCGACTGAGACAGGGCTGACAGGAGACGGAATTTTGCAGAGGAGATCGTGAGTTTGATGTAGAGACGTCGAAGGGACCCTTGTGAATTTGAGTCTGGAGGTCAGAGGAGAGAGCTGGGCTGGAGTCAAAACCGAGGCTATTTGCAAATAGGCATATGAAGCTGTCCTGAGAGAAGGCGAGGACCTGGGACCGCCCTCAGGAAAATCTGCATTGCCGTCTGGGTGGGGGAGGAGGGAGAAAGGAAAGAGAAGAAGAGTGGAGGAAAGGAAACCAGAGGAGTGTTTGTTCACAGAAGTACCGCAGGGGGTGTGTGTGCATGCGTGTGTGTGTGTGTGTGTGTGTGGGCAGGAGGGTCACGTGCCGTCAAGAGGTAAGGAAGGCAAGGACCGAGGTGTGTTACTGCATTGAATGGTACGAGTGTTCTTGGCAACCTTGTTTTGGTGGCAGGAAAGCCCAAACAAAGACATCATCTGGGTAAGGCAGACACAGGGGTAAGGCAGACAGGGTTTGGTATGAGTCCAGAAGGAAATCGGGGCAGAAGGGATGCACTGGAGAACGGATAGGCCACAGTTCCCAGGACTCAATGGGCAAAAGCAACCAGTCCCCCAGACCCTCCCCCAGGACGTGAGTTTTTTGTTTCTGGTCTTCCCCTTCTCTCCCCGCTGCGTGTGTAGGTGGTTCTGCTCCTGCCCTCGCTTCTGCAGTCTTCTCTTCTCCACCCACCAGCAGTTCACACTCCTGGTTCTAATGGGGGCTTAGGATGGGGCAGAGTTGCCGTCCGAGATGCTCCTAGATTGCTGGCTGGTCTAAGGGGGTCGGTGGTGGTGCCATTGGCGATGCCGTTTTCCCTTTGTCCTGAGGGCCAGGATGTCCTGCATGTTTGTCATCGTTCCCTGAACTTCACAGGGAAATATTCATCTTCTGGATTCCACAAAGGCAAAACTGGGCTCCGTCCTTTCTCATCTAATGTCAGCGGAGCCCTTTGGTATGCTTTAGGTTAATGGGCTGCTTGTCCACCCAGCTGCCTCAGATCCAGCAATCTGGGACCCAGTCCTGTTTCTCTGGTCCGGGACTGCCTTAGGAATGCGCTTTTCCTCCCCACGCTCCTGCTGCCTCCCTGTGGCTGTCATCGTTTGGCACTTCACTCTGACCAACATCCTCGCAGTAGTTCCTGCCTGGTCTCCCTGTCTCCAGGATGGCCCTCTCTGTTCTGGTCCACCCAGCCACTCAACTTCCAGGGAGAGATTTCTAAAACCCCAGTGTTCCTCCTGCCTTTCAGGAGCTTCCCATGGCCTGCATGCATGGCACAGAAGGGTAAGTCGCCTCTGAAGTGGAGCTAGGAACAGAACATCTGTGGAGGTTCACGTTGGACGAAGCAGGAGTGAGCCGCAGGGCCTCCAACTGTACTGCAGTGTTCACGGCTGTGGACCGTGGAAGAGATTGCTGTTCAGAGAGGCCTGTGTTGGGCAGAAACGGCCAGGTTGAATGCTCAGTTATTGGCCGAGATTGCCCAGAGGGCAGCCTCTGCTCAAATGCAGCAGGGGTTCCTGAAGGTGCCTCAGCTGAGGGCTGTCGGCTGGCGGGCGGAAGGGTCGCGTGTGCCTTTGAGGCTGCCTGGCAGCCCCCTTTAGGAGCTTCCCTAAAAGGGAACTTTGACTCTTCCTTGGCATTGTCTTCTCTTGAAAAATACCTTCTGTCTGTGCTGTTTCAAGTTTCTTGAACATGCAAGGCTGTTTTTTACACCACCGTGCTTTTATGTGAACTTTTCTTTCTAGTCTAAATACCCTTCCCCATACCTGTTTTCCTGGAAAAGTATTTTCACAGGTCAACTCCAGTCTGGTAACCATGACGCCTTTCCTATTCCCCCAGCTGTGTGGCACATCTTCTCTGTCAGATGCTTGCCTGTCTTTGACCTTACTACCAGACAGCGAACCATTTAAAGGAAAGCATCTCATTTTTAAAGTAATTTTATTCACTATACTTGGCATTTTGAGGTTGGTGTTAAATAAATGTACTGGATTGAATGAAAAGGTGAATGTCTGTCTCCCATCAAAAGTTAGGGTTTTTTCTTTTCAAGAATAAAAGAAGGCTGTTTCCCTTTATATCACCTGATGGAGGGCCTAGGATTAGTTTATGCAAATAATGGCTCATATACATGGTAACTTGGAGGAAGGTGCAGTTCTCAGATGTGACCACAGGTGCTGCAGTAAGGGAACAACACTACTTGCCTGGGATATATTGATGTGGCCTGGATTTGGGAAGGTGCGGGAGACAGCCAGTAAATCTGGGAAGGCGCAAGCTTGCACCTGATCTGTAGGACATCTCCTCATTAAATTGAGTTTGTTTTTGTGTTGGATGAGCAACTTATAGAAGACATATGTGAGTAAAAATGGAATGTGTGCAAGATATTGATGGCTTCTTCTTTCATACAGTGTGAACACTTCTGAAAACGAAGCAAGTGAAAATGAATCTGTAAAAATTAGTGGCAAAAAGGTATGTAAGCATGTTCTCTCTTTTACCTTAATTTGTAAGATTTTATATTGTATTTTGATTGTATGCAACTAGAGAAAATGTTCTGTAAAATATTTCCTGCTTAGATTGGATGCAAATAGAGAAAATATTATGTGGCGACATTTTTCATAGAAAAAGTATTATGTTTAAAAGATACTTTTAGAGTAAAAAGGAAAATATTTTTATATCTGGAGTGTTTTTTATTAAGGAGATATCAAATCTCTATGTACTTTGTGAATTTTCAGAGCATTCATGGCGATACGTTTAGGTTATGATTTACAAAGGCAAAGTGAATTGTTGGAAGTGCTTACTTGTAGCTCTTGAGGTTTCCTGTCCTATTCACAAATTATGTTGCCATCCTTCTCTTGTGTTCAGTTCTGAAGTATAGAAATGAGAAATGTGGACTTTGCAATATTCTACTATTACAGTAAGAATTGCAAGCATTTGTGTTTTCTAATCCAGTAATGCCGTTTTCTTCATATAGCCAAGAAAACTCAAGCCCATTGACGATGAGTCTGATAGCGCTGAAGAAAGTGATATAAGAAGAAAAGTTAAATCAGCGGAAAAGATAAGTACACAACATGAAGCTGTTCCAAGTACAGCATCTTCAGAACTTTTAGAAAAACCAGCAGAGTCAGTCACTTCTAGGAAGATAGGACCCCTTGGTGCCCAGACCTCTGTTGAAAAGGAGACCCTGGCAACAGAAAGTCAACAGGTAAGAGTGTCTGCCATCCCCTGGGAGAGAAAAAAGTTTTGTTGGAAGATGTTTCAGAGGAAAATAAAGCATTTTCATCAGATCTTTTAAAGATAAAGTTTATATTTTTTACTGTAATAAAAATATATACTTAATATAAAAATGTTTATTTTAGAATATCTAGAAGATATGGAAAAGAAGAAAAAATCATCTACAATTCCATAACCCAAAATAACCCCATGTTTTTTGATCTATGCTCTTTAGTCCTTTTACTGAGGTTTCTTACCCTAAATGAGATCATATACTTGTCACTTAGTATTCCACAGTGCTATTTGAATGAATGTACAACCTTGCACTCATGGGTGTGCTGTAGTTTAGTTCATCTCTACTACTGAACAGTTGCAATTTTAAAAATTATAAGTGCTTTAATGAATTTCTTTGTAGCCAAATATTTGTGCATACCCTTGAATTTGTTTCCTTAGGAAAACATTGCTGATAAGAATTTTTAGGGTTGTATTTGTTCTAAGATTCTTGGTGTATAATATCTTCTGGTCAAGTTCTTAATATTTCATTTTATAAATTCGTGTTTTGAACGAATGTTTTGATGTTGGCTTAATGTTTTGAACAAATAATGTATTCTCATGTTTGAAAACTTTCTGAAGTATGTCCTGCTACCCTGTCTTCCAGCTTTCCACCTTCTATCCACTAAACATACACATGGTAACTGTATCATTCGTTTCTGATGTATATTTCCAGAGTTTCCTTTTGCACATATAAATACATGAATATATTTTCTTATTTTTATATCCCTTGTTACACAAATAGAAGCACATTATGTTGTCCTGCCTCGTATTAGTCTGTCTTGGTGAATATCCCATGTGCACTTGAATTTGCAGCTGTTGGATGTAGTGTTCTGTAAATGTCAATGGGTCAGGTTGACTGATAGTGTAGTTCAGATATTATGTCTTCTTACTGTTTTTTTGTTGGTGGTGTTTTTGGTGATGGAAGATGGTCTACTTGATGTATCAGTTACACAGAGGGGTGTTTTTAACATCCCAACTTGGTAGACTTTCTTTATTTGATGTCTTGTGTCAGGAATTTTGAAGCTATGTTTTTTTGTTTTTTGGTGTTTGGGGGTGTTTTTGTTGTTGTTGTTGTTGTTGTTTTTGCCCCAAAGCTGGCTTCTTGTTGTTGTTGTTGTTTTCAATTGACAAATCATAATTGTATACATGTAGGTGTGCAATGTGATGTGTTGACATATGTATACAATGTGGAACAACTAAAGCAAGCTAAATAGCATAGCCATAGCCTCACTTATCCTATTTCGTGTGAAACATTTGAAATTTATTCTTAGCTCTTTTGAAAAAAATTCATTATTATTAACTATAGTCAAGGTTGTGCAGTAGGTCTCAAAAGGTTATTCTTCCTCTCTGAATGAAATGTCATACCTTTTGATCAATATCTATCCATTTCTTCTCCTTACCTCTGGTAACCACCATTCTGTTCTCTATGAAACTGTGTTTTTAATTGCATACTTATTGAAGGTTGCTATGGCTTCTTGATAAATGGCTTCTATTATCGTTATGAAATGTTCCTTTAATTTATCATATTTTTTATCTGAAGTCTTTGTTGTCTGGTTTCAGTACAGCCGTAGCACCTTTCGTATGCTTACTTTGCATGATGAGTCTTGTTTCATCCATTTACTTGTAGCCTGTGTTTGTGTTTAAAACATGTCTCGTAGACAGCATGTATATATCCAGTTTGACAATTTCTATCTTCTAGTGGGATTGTTTAGTTCCTTTACTCTTGATGTTGTTACTGATATGGTTAGGCTTAAGTCCATCATCTTGCTGTTTATCTTCTTCTTGTCCCTCTGTCTTTTGTTTCTCTGTTGTTCCTCTAAAAACCCATTTACTTTTTATATAATTTTAAGTATGGAGACTGGGTGTGGTGGTTATGCCAGTAATCCCAGCATTTTGGGAGACCCAGGCAAGAGGATTACTTGAGCCCAGGAGTTTGAAACCAGCGTAGGCAACAAAAAAATCAAAAAAGTAGCCAGGCGTGGTCCTAGCTTCTTGGGAGGCTGAGGCAGAAGGATCTCTTGAGCCTGGAAGGTTGGGGCTGTGGTGAACCATATCAGGCGACTGCATTCCAGCCTGAGAAACAGCGTGAGACCCTGATCTTTTTTTTAAAAAAATGTTGAGATTTATATCTACCATCTTACTCTTTGTTTTCCATTTGCCCCTCTGGTGTTTTTTATATTTGTTTTTATTTTTCCTCTGTTGCTAATTTTGGATTAATTGCTTTTTTTTTTTTTTTTTTTTTTTTTTTTTTTTTTTTTTTTTTTTTTTTTTTTTTTTTTTTTTTTTTTTTTTTGGTGTTCTGTTTTCTCCATTGGCTTCTTAGCCATCCCTCTTTTAATTCTTTTCAGTGGTTGCTCCTGGGATAAACATATACATCCTTAAATACATCCTGCTTCATACCTGACAATTTAGCCGCTTCCCACTACAATAAATGTAATTGCATAATAGTATTATATATAATTCCATGTATCCATCTGGTATCCTCTGTGCTGTTTTGTTGTTTTACTTCTGCATCCAAAGGGGAACCCTCCAAAATCTGGAATTTATTTTTTTTAAATTGTGTATTTTTTCTTAACATATTTAAACTTCAGTCACCTTCGAAGTACACTCTGATGCAGTACACCTCTCAAAATGCTTTTTTCACTGCTCAAAACAGTTTTTGAACTTATCAATGTTGATGCCTTTTAGTGCTCGTGCTGTTTTTTGTTTCACGTCTTCCACATTGGCAAAATAATTCCCTTTGAGAACTTTTTTCATCCAGGGAAATAAAATAAAGGCGCCCAGGGTGAGATCAAGTGAATAGAGAGGGTGGGGCATGAGGTTGATGCCATTTTGGGGCAAAAACTGCTCAACCTTCTGCACAGTTTGGGCCAGTGTACTCTTAAATTACCCATGATGAAATGGGCAAACACGTTAAAAGAGTCTCCAAAAAAATTCACTAAAGTTGAACGTAGCCTCTTAAATAACGCTAGCTGGCACACTGAAGTTGATGGATTCCTTAGAACTTACCAGAAAAAAAAAATGCCTAGTGGGATAAGCCTGTACCACAGGGGACCTGCCCTCCAAAAAATGATTCCAGGTTTGTTTTTTGTTTGGTCCCCTCCTCATACATTATAAGTCTAACTTTATAGTGTTGTCATTTCTGCTTGAAAGAGATGTCTTTTAGGGAAATTATGAGAAGAAAAAATATACTATTTACCCATGTTTTCTTTTTTTCCAGTTCACTATTGCCTGCCTGTAGACCTGATATCTTTCTGATATCTTTCCTATCAGCCTACAGAATATCTTATAGAATTTTTTTTATTGCAGATCTGCTAGTGAATCATTCTCTCATTTTGTTTATCTAAAAGTGTCTTCACCCCCATTTTTAAAGTATTTTTCACTGGATATAGGATTCTGAGTTGATAATTTTTTTGCTCATCTCTTTTTGGGTGGGGGGGTACAGTGGCATGATCATAGCTTACTGCAGTCTTGACATCCTGGGCTCGGGCAGTCCTTCCACCTCGGCCTCCCAAGTAGCTGGGACTACAGGTAAGTGCCACCACGCCTGGATAATTTTTTTTTTTTTTTTGTAGAGACGAGGTCTTGCTATGTTCCTCAGGCTGGTCTTGAACTCCTAAGCTCAGTAGCATAGCTCCATAGCTGCCTTGGCCTCTCAAAGTGCTTAGATTACAGGTGTGAGCCACTGCGCTCATTCAAGCTGTTAAGAGATGTCATTCTGTTGTCTTCTGGTCCCCATTCTTTCCAATGAGAAATCAGTGAGTTTTGTTGTTTCCATGTGTGTTTACTGCAGCCCCTTCCTCCAGTGCTACTTGTCCTTCATTATCTGTTGTTACTTCCATGACAGTGCTTTATATGGTCTCATCCTGCACATGTGCCATACTCAGACAAGGACTTTTGGGAGCATCCACACAGATGCCTGTAGTCTCCTCTGAGCAGCTTATCCCAAATGCCTCCCAATTGAGTAGGATTGCCAGGCCTGGACTTCAGCTTCTGCATCCCATCTAGAAATGTGGGGGAGGGGGTTGGCATTCATGGGATTTACCTTCTAAGTTTCCCCTTTTTTTCAGGGAACTTAGTCTTGTGTTCCTGTTGTCCAATGCCTGAATAAAGTTGCCAGCCCCTAGCCCCCATGTTACAGTTGTTTATGGCAAGAGAGCTAGTTCAGAAGCTGTTACTTCACCATAGCTGGGGCAGAAATTTGAACTGATACCACACATTATTATCATAAATAATAAAAGTTCAACTTCCTCCAAGGTAATGATTTTATAGGTCAACTGAAAGTATTATTTTTATCCTGTGCCAGTTTTGTTTAATTTTTTGCAATGTTTTCCTATATTAATTTAGATAATTTATATAACTAGATGAGAATTGTAGCTAAAATATGACAGCATGGTAACACTGTCTTCTTAATCATTATGCCTTAAGAGAAAGAAAACTTTTCTTAAAATTCTATACTTTTTTTTAACAGAAAACTCAGAAAAAACAGAAGATGTCTTATAGCAAAGGAAAGAAATTAAGAAGTGAAACCATAGACTCAGGTACAGAATGGTGCTTGCTTCGTTTGTTTGTTTACTTTCTCTTTGCATTGGAGTCTCATTCTGTCATCCAGGCTGGAGTGCAGTGGCATGATCACAGCAACCACAGCCTCACCTGCTGGGCTCAGGCAGTCCTTCCGTCTCAGCCTTCCAGGTAGCTGGAACTACAAGCAAGGTCCACCATGTTCGCCTGGCTAATTTTTCAATTTATTGTGGAGACAGAGTCTCACCAAGTTGTTGAGGCTGGTCTCAAACCCCTGGTCTCAGGCAATCCTCTTGCTTTTGCCTCCCAAAGTGTTGGGATTACAGACATGAGCCACCATGCCTGGCTTAGAATGGTGTTTTATACTTTGTCAGTCATTCAAATGTTTCATGAGGGAAAAAAAGCCCTATTCTTAAAGCCCCTATTTTTTAAAAGTAATTATAAATTATAAGTACATAAATTGCCACTTTTAAAAATTAAGAATGTATGACTTTGGAGTAACATTTTTTTCTAACGTTTTGTCATGAAAATTTTCAACATATAGCAAAGGTGATAAAATTTTATAGTATATATTCACATACCCACCACCAAAATTTTACAGTCAACATTTTATTATTTGCTTTATTAGGAAGTAAAGCAAGTATTTAATTTATTTAAAAATTATTTAGGATTGGCAGTAGGGGTTCACTGCCGGGGCGAGGGGACACATAGCATCAATAAGGGTGCCCACACTTTCTTTACCTGTATGATGACTGTGTGTGTACTTAACCCTCATTTGTACACCACATTTTTTAAATAAAATAATTTTAAAAGATAAAAATACAAAAAAATTATGTAATTCTTGCTTTATTACCCATCTGTTCATTCATTATTCCATTTGTTTTTTATGCATCTTAAAACAAATTAGACATCAGTACTTCTGAACTACTACTGCGAGCACATGATTAACTAGAGTTCAATGTTTGTTTGTAGTTTTTTCTTTTAATGTAAAATGTGTATCCAGTACAATGAAATGCCCAGCTCTTGTGTATATTTGGAAAATGCAAATGCCTGTGTAACTAAAACCACTATCAACATGTAAACACTTTACTCCAGAAATTTCTCCTGTTCCTCTTTCACATAAGCTCCCACCTTCTCGCCCCCAGAGACAATTGCTTTGAGGACTCTTTTTCTGCCATGGATTAATTTTGCCTATTCTGGTATTTCATATCAGTGGAATCCGCATAGAATGTACTCTTTTATTTAATGCTTCTTTCACCCAGCATAATTATTTTGAGATTTATCCACATTGTTTTGTGTTATTTTTATTGGTGAGTATATTCCTTTGATTATATCACAGTTTATTTACTCTTACTGATGGAAACTGGGTTGTTTTCAAGTTTGGGCTATTATAAATAAAGTCACTATGAACATTCATACACTTTTTTGTGAACATCTGTTTTTATATTTTGGGTAAATAAGAAAGAGTGAGGTTGTTGAGTCATAGGGTAAGCATATGTTTATTTTACAACATACAGCCCATCTCTGAAAACTGCATTCCCAAGGTGCTTGTATAATTTTATATTCCCCCCAGAAGTGGCACAGTTTAAAATGCTGCTAGGAATATGATGGACAGCTTCATGTGAAAACTTAAAACAGGTAGCGAGGAGGAGGGGACAGGGAGAGGCTGGTCAGCGGGTCCAGAGCTGCAGTTAGACCGGAGGCGTGTGTGTTTCAAAAGAGCGGGGAAAAGATTTTTTCATGTTCTTATCACAAAGACGTGATGACTGTCGGAGCTGATGGAGTGCTAAGTACCCTCATTTGATTTTTACGCCATGTGTACTTGTATCAAAACATCATACTCCATAAATATATGTAATTATTATGGATCAATTTTTTAAAATTTCAAATGAATCTAAGCCTCCCCAAGAAATAGATGAAAAGGAGACATGCCCGTCCCCCTCAACTTGTAGCACATAAATAACTTGAAAAATTTAAGGCTAACAACGCTGGCTTTTGAGAAAAAAAACTAGAATAATTTTATAACTCACATTCAATCAATAGTTAAAAATATTTCTATAAAAACAGGCTTGCAACAACAAAAAATATTTCAGTTCCATATAGTTTTACAGATGGGTCTCACAGACATTTAGGGAGCAGTTCATTCCAACCTTATGGACAGTGACACCAGAAGAAAGACCGGAAAGAGCCCATGCATACATGGCAACTCCGTGATGCTTAGCAAGGATGATGTTGCCAGCCAGTGGGGAAGGGTGGTGCTGGCACCGCGTTTCCCTGTAGAAACGTGAACTTAGAGCTCTCCTGACTTGCAGCACACACACAAAAGCCATTCTGAATGTTTTCCATGTTTAGGGAAAATGTCGGAGCATCAATAAAAAGACAGCACAGGCCAGTCATGGCAGCTCACACCTGTCGTCCCAGCACTGTGGAAGGCTTAGGTAGGAGGAGATAGATTGCTTGAGACCAGGAGTTCGAGACCAGCCTGAGCAATATAGTGAGATCTTGTGTGATTTTTTTACAAAAAAAAATATATTTTTTTTTTTTTAAAAAGACAACAGTGGAGAAAAATGGACGGACAACGTCAACAGATTTTTTTATAGGAGAGGAAACATTAAAATAAAGATTTGAAGGGAATCCATTCCTAATCACAGCAATTTAAGGTACAGCTACAATGAGACACCTTCTATACCTTCTAAATTACCGAATATTTTAGTCCCTCAAGTTCATATTTAATGGACATGTCATTAGTGGAAATCCTTAACCACTGCAGGTATGAAGAGAGATATAACCACTTTGAAAATCATTTTGGCAACTCTCTGGTAAATTGGAAAATATGCAGACTTTGAAACCTAGCAATCACTGGTGGGCATATTTATTGGAGAAATTCTTTCACACGTGTGAAACAGATACATGAGTGCTCTTACCATGTTTCATGCTAGCAGAATACTGACAACAATTTACGTTGGAAAATGGATAAATTGTGGTATAGCTATGCAATGGAATGGAATCCAAAAGCAAAACTTTGGTGCATTAATAAATATAAAGAGGTCAAAAACATGCAAAACTGAACTCTAGACTGTTTAGGAATATGTTCATAGGCAGTGAAATGATAATGAAGAATAATACGGTAATAAACACAAACCTCAGAATGGTGGTTTCCTGCAGGGTGCTTCAATGTCTTGTTAACGTTCTGTTCTTCGCAGTACTAGGTCCTATGGCATGTCTTCTATTAATCATCTTTCTATTGCGAGTGTTCTCGTGTGTATGAAATAACTCATAATAAATCAGTTCTGGTGCCAAAATTTAAAAAAATGTAAATAAGAGTAAGTAAGTTGTATAGAGTGTTTTTTAATTTAACTTCTAAAATTAACCCTGAGAGCTTAAGGAAGATTTTATGTGAACTACTGAGATCTTCAGATATTGTGTCTTTTACATAAGCAGGACTACTTTTTACAGATTACTGCTTTTTCTAAAATCCTGATGAGCAGAGTTTAGGTGAGTAGGGGTTTGGGAATAGAGAGGATGGTGGTTGAGTTGTGCTTGGCAGTATTGTATGTTCTGCCTGGAAGCATTATCGGAATACCTTTTACTAACTTCTGTTCCCACCTATTTCTGTTTTATAAATGAATAGCAATAAAAACAATGGCATATTTACTGTGTGCCAGTCATCATACTGAGTGTTTAATATCACTTCTCTAATTCTGATAATAATTCTATTAGGTGTAGTTGCCATTATTTCCCCCATTTTTACAGATGACACTTAGAACAAAAAACTTGTCTGAGCTTGCACGGCTGTCGGGCCTGTTATTAATGTATAACAAACAATCCCAAAGCTTAGTGATTTAAAGCAGCATTCAGAAAAGCACGGTCTACGTTCCAAATGTGGACCATTGCCTGTTTTTGAAAATAAACTTTTATTGGACCACAGCCAGCTTTACTCATTTGCATATTATCTGTGGGTGCTTTTGTGCTACAGTAACAGAGTTGAGCAGCTGGTCCGCAAAGTCCACAGTATTTGCCGTCTGGCACTTTGCAGCAGTTGGCCATCTCCTGACTCACAGCCACCGCCATTTCATCTGCTCGCAGCTTTGCTTTGGGCAGTTCTGCTCACTTGGCGGCTGAGCTCGAGCGGGAGGTCCGCGAAGGCCCTGCTCCGGGTCTGGTGCCGTGGTCCTCCTGCCTGCGGCCCCTTTGTTTCTCGTGAGGCCAGCGTGGGCTAGCTTGAGCTTTCCTGTTTGGTGGTCAGAGTCCCACGTGACTGTTGACTTCCCCAGGGGAGCATTTCAGGAGGTAAAAAGCAGAAGCTGAGTTTTTCTTAAGACCTGACCTTGGAAGCTGCACGGTGTCACTGTCATGTTCTGTCAGTAAGCCAGTCCTAGGGCTATGCCAGGTTCCAGGAGAAGGGGCATAGAGCGTGGCAAAGAATTTGCAGTTGTCATTAATCCACCACAGCCAAAGTTGTACTCAGGTCAGTGTGAATCCAGAGGCGAACTCTCAGTCAGTGTGTTCATCAGTTTTGCAGTATTTAATACACAATCAGTTATGGAAAAAGAATGGACTATCCTGCCAATGGCTTATGTTAACATTAAACAAAAAATTGGAGTATGCTTTAGAAATGGACTGATAATAGCACCTTGCAGATATATAGTAATTTACAGTTTTTATACATGTACACATATATTTTCTTGCTTGGGTTTCACAGCAAAATAAAAGGCAGAACATGTTTATTTCTTCGATTTATATTGGGAAACTGGGCCTCTGGTGGGTTAAATGACTTGCCTGAGATCTTATGTCTTGTAAGGAAGAAACACAAACTGGAACCTAGATCTCTCAGATTCCTGTTCAATATACTACTTTATATTACTACGGTTATTTAAATTAGTATACTGAGTAATTTTGATGTATTCTACAAGTGACCTATCAGATTAAAATTCAGAAATTATACCTAACGAAGAACTTTATCTCCAGTAATGTTAGATAATAGCAGACTACTAAATAATACTGTGAGGTAACTAAAACGTAGTGGTGCTTTTGGTTGCTTTTACAGAAATGGGAGAACCAGCGAGACAGCAGTTAGAGAGTTACAGTACACATGGGGGTTTGTGAGACTGTGCATGGGGGTAGGAAGTAAGTGTGGCTCCGTCTGTCTTATTCTTCCGTTGTAGCTGTCTTTTCCCCTTTGGTAGTACAATTTTTGTTGCAGATTTTTCTAAAGACGTGGAACTGCAGCCAGATTCTGAATAACAAGTATGTTAAATTGACTTATCTTCATATTCTAGATACTTCTGACATTGTGCATATTTGGTGCCTAGAAGGAAGGAAAACCAGTGACATAATGGAATTGAATATTATTTTGCCTGCATTTGAGAAAACCCTGCAAGAATATCAGTAAGTCTTTTGATCTTGTGGTTGTGATATGTAGGTCTGATAAGTTTCTCTTGAAGCACCACTTTTGCTCATCCCACAGTTTTTTATATGTACTGTTTTCATTATTGTATTCTAGGCATTTTTACTGTTTTTTCTTTAATCCTTTGAGTTATTAAGCAGTATTTTTATATGTCCAAATATGTAGATTGTTAAAATTTATATTTTATTTTTGTAATAACTTTCTGTCTTAAATATGTTGTGGTCAAAGATGATAGTCTGGTGATACCTGTTTTGTTTTTTTTAATTTTGAGACATTCCTTATGACCTAGCACATGATCTGTGTGGAATTTCTAATCATGGATCTAGGTAGAATCTAATTATTAGATCTATGTGGAATCAGTAATTTTTCAAGTTTTCCTGGTACTTCTATCCATTTGTGATGTATATATTTAAAATTGCTCTGTCTTGTAGATTGGACATTTTATCATTATTTAGTGACCCTTTTCATTACTAAATATGCTTTTTTGTCTTAAAGTCTATTTTACTTGATATTAATATGCATCATTAGCTTTCTTTTGCTAGCGTTTGCTGGGTTTTATATTATTTTTAATTTCTTTTACTTCCAATGTTTGTGCGACCTTAAATTTTAATGTTTCTTAGAACTCTTTTAAAATCCAATGTACCAATCTTTGAATTTTGCCTGTTGCATTTAGTCTACTAACATTTATTATAATTATCAGTATATCTGGAACAATGAATTGAAATATTGTTTAGCTTTTTAAAAATTGTATTTATAGCTCCCCACTTTTAATATTAGAACTTTGGAATGCTTTCTTGTCCCTTGGTCTTGTCACCATTTCCTTCCCCTCAAGCCCCATCATGTTTATGACACCTGGAGACTTTTAATTCTGGATTAAGTAGATAAAAGCTTCCCTTTTTCCCCCTTCTTATTTTAAGACAATAACAACATTTACTTAGATATTTGACACCTTTACTCCATATAGTTTCCTATAACATCCTCCAAATCTGTCTTTTCTCTTATTTAAATACTTCAGCCTTCAGTGTGGCTCTTTGTGTCTTAGAACTTCTACACCCCTCTGAGAATGTTGATTTTGATTGACGGTATATTTGAATATAATAATTTAAGTACTGATTATTTCCTTAAATACTTTGCGAACACTACTCCTTTGTATTCTTTTTTTCCTTTTCTTTTTTTTTTTTTGAGAGAGCAGGATTTGCTGAGAGGATAGGAAAGCTCCCGCAGTGGGCGGGCACCTGTGGGGGCTGCCTGCTTTGTGTTCTTTCATAGCTCATGTTGCTTTTGGAAAACTTGATGTCTGTTCTTACTTCTTCATATGTAATCTCTAATTTAAATTTTTTTTTTTTTTTTTGAGTTGGAGTCTCACTCTGTCGCCCAGACTGGAGTGCAGTGGCCGCTCCCGGCCACCGCAGCCTTGACCTGCTGGGCTCCGGCGATCCTTCCGCCTCAGCCTTCCAGGCAGCCGGAATTACAGGCATGCGCTACCAATGCCCGGCTGATTTTTATTTCTTGTAGAGATGAGGTCTTGCTGCCCAGGCGGGTCTCGAACCCGCGGGCTCAGGCAATCCACTCACCTCAGCCTCCCAAAGGCGTGGGATTACAGGCTGAGCCACCGAGGCCAGCTTCTAATTTAAATTTTTAGAGGGTTTTCTTTCTTTGATATCCTTGAATTTCACTGCATTGGGTCTGACCTTTTCATTTCAAGGTTCTTTTTTTAAATTACAGAATTAAAAATATTTTTATCTGAATTTTAAAAAATTATTTATAGTATTGCCTCTTGCTTCATTCCCTGGGAGATTCCCTCTAGAAATTGGAAGATTTGCTAATTTATTTATCAGATATATTTTTCATTCTGCCATTATTACATCTGTTGAGTTCTTTATTTAGCTATTTTAGTTTTTATATTTAATATTGAGAGGACCGTAATAAAGTATACCATAGACGTAGGTTAAGAGCATGCTATAACCCAATAAATATGTAATCAGCTTGTGGACAATAGCACAGCCATTTTTAGTTTTCTTTCTTAAAACATAACCTGTAACTGTTTAAAGTTCCAGTTATGGGAAAAACTGCAAAGCTTCAACCCCTTCCCTTATCTCACTTTCCCCTTAGCAACATCCAATCAGGTGCCAGGGGATAATCACCTAAGTTTCCAGATGTCTCTGCAACTTCCCTAGCTAGTGGACCAAGGTCAGCCCCAGTCAGGCTAGCCAATCCTCCACGATTAAGCTGACCACCAGAGGTTACTACCCAATTAAATGGTAACACAACTGGAAAGCCCCCCAAAACTCCTCCTCCCTTTGTGTAAAAGCATAAAAGGCATCTGCTTAAGGAAATCAGAGCCTCTGAATGCACTCCGCTGTGTCGGCTGTCGACAGAGGCCCAGGCTCGAGCTTGTAAATAAAGACCCTCTTGAACTTTCATCGGAATTGGCTCTTGGTGGTCTCTCGGATTGAGCTTTCGGCCACTACAATATTTCTGCTTGGTTCTTTTTGGTGACTTATAGTCACATTTTATGCTGCTAATATTTTCCTTAGAATATTTATTAGGCTAATTTTATATTGCTGGATCACCTGTTCTAAAATGTCTGCATCTGATGGAATCGCTGGTCTTCAGTGTGTTTTTCTTTTGAAGTAGTTGCTTGCCCAGCGCCTTGTTACCCCAGACACCGAGCTTGTTGTCTCCTGGGGCCTTCAGCCTCTCCATCAGACGGTGTGTGTAGGGCAAGACCAGGCCCCAGGCCCTGTTGGCTCCTGTGAGTGCAGGGGTTGGGGTGGATGAGCTGTGGGGTGGGACGCCTGTCACTCATCTCACGAAACAGCCCGTCGGATCAGGACTTTGCCCTTCAGCCCCAGAGAGAAACAGCATGAAGGGCAGACAGACTCCTGGGTCATCATTCTCCAGCCTAGGACTCGGCAGGGGAGGGGGGTGGAAACTTGCCCACAGGCAGTCGGTCTTCCCTGTTGTTCTCCACGCCTCACAAACACTCTTGAGGACACAGAGACAGAGGTCTGAGTTGCTGCAGGTGACAGGTGTCGGGGATCACTGTGAGACTTGGTGGTAGGAAGAAACAGGAGTCAGCTTCCAGCAGCTCTCTTCCTGCCGGGGCCCCAGACACCACCTGGCCACAGTGCCTTGAACCAGTTCAGCCGTTCTAAATGACCTTTCCTTTGACTTTCCACGGCTTTCTCCTTTTTTTGTTTTTTTTTGGGGGGGGGCTTGTTTTGTCTTTTTTGTTTTGTTTTATTTGAGTTGGGGGTCTCGCTGTTGCCTGGGCTGGAGTGCGGTGGCATGATCATGGCTTGCCGCAGCCTCAACCTTCTGGACTCAGGTGATCCTCCCACCAAGAAGGGATCTCACTTTGTTGTCCAGGCTGGTCTTGAAGTCCTGGACTCAAACAGTCCTCACATCGTGGCCTCCCAAAGTGCTTGGATTACAGGCATGAGACACCATGCCCAGCCAGCATTCTCCATTTTTTTGGTGTTGTTTCCTCTGTAGTTCTTCTGGATAATTCAGGGGAGAGGAGCCAGCTCGTCATGCTAACTCATTATTATCACCGTGGGAAGTGTTCGTTTTGTTCTTTTATACTATATATTCCATAGTCAGTTTGCTGTTACAATGGGCACAGTTCTCTCAATATACCTAAGAACATCTTGCTTGTGTTATTCTTTTCCCATTCTTAAATCTCTCACAGGAAAATTATTATAGACTTCTGATGTTTTAGGGAGAATGAGGTATTGTTCCCTTTTAGCACAGTAAGTTCTTTCTTCTTTAATTTTTTATTTTAAAGATGTGGGGTGCAATTCAGGGTTAGGTATTCAAACGTTCATTATGCAGATACCCTTGTTGATGAGATGTGTCCCCTGCCCCCCAACAGATTCCCACTCCTGTCATCCCACTTTCTGCCCCATCCCCCAGCAGTTTCCCGCTACTGCTAATCCTTTTCTTACAGTATTATGATAATTGTTCAAGGCCCACTTATGAGTGAGAACATGTCATACTCAGTGCTTTGTTTCTGCAATAAATCACTCAGTATTATAGACTCTAAGTCTATCAAGCAACTATTTGAGGGTTTGTTGTTAATATCCTATACCTAGCACTCACACTTGAATAGCTTCCTTGTCAATAGACATACTGATTATAACCAGTTTACCAATGTGTGTAAGTAGGGAAAGATGCATGAAACGCAACATTACAGACTTTTCAAGTATCCTGTAGCAGATTCAACTAGTTACATGTAGGGAAATGGCTTGGTTTTTCAGGTGCTGGAGTTTGAAGGAGCTGTCTTGGCAGTATAAGTAGCCCGTCGTCTTTGTGGTTGATAGAATCCATCAATTTATCATCATTGCAAGCCATATGTAGAGAGTTTCTCTATTTTTTAATTGTTTTCAAGGTGAAGTCTTGCTATGTTGTCCAGGCTGTCTCTAGCTTCTGGGTTCAAGGGAGCTGGAATTACAGGCACGTAGCACCGTGACAAGCTATATTTTAAGATATTTTTAACACGTGAAAACTATTATTTAGTATTTATATTACATTAGAAATAACTTTTTTAGAAAGATGGGGCTTATGTAAATTTTTATGTTTAACTGTGATAAAATACACACAATGTAAAATTGCCATCCTGAGAGTTTTAAAATGCACGAGTCTGTAGCGTTAAGTGTATTCATTGTTGTGCAGCCAGTTTCCAGAACTTCTTTATCTTGCAAAATTGACATTCTGTACCTTAAATAATAATTTATTTCTCCCTTTTCCAGCTCCTGGCAACTCCCCTTCTATTTTCTGTTTCTATGGGATTTGACTACTCTGGATACCCCATATAAATAGAATCGGACGGTGTTTGTCTTTTTGTAACTGGCTTATTTCGCGTGGCATGACCTCAAGGTTCGTGTGTGTTACAGCGTGTGTCCGAATTTCTTTCCTTTTTGAAGTTATATGTTGTGTGTGTGTGTGTGTACACACCACTTTTGTTTATCCATTCATT